GAGGACCCTACCCTTCTTCTCCATGTTCCTAAGACATCCCAGCCCTGGAATTCCTAGCACGCTTTTAGCCAGGAAGTTTTCTCCCTCAATTCCCAGCCATTCTTTGACTCCCTCTTGGAAGGAGGGAGTTGGAGTAATGATCTTCTGTGTGTTTCCAGGCACTTCAGTCACAAGTCCTGAAAGGGACTTGTGGAAGTTGCCTTCAGTCCAGACAGAAAGCATTCTTCTTAACCTCTTCTCCTGGGAATGGTAGTCAGGAAGTCCCTGACTTGAAGAGAGGAGGAGGAGGAGGAAGAAACAGACATTATGACTCCAAAAACAAAAGCTCCTTATTGGATGGGGACTTTTGTCCCCCCCCCCTTTTTTTTTTTTGCATGGGAAGAGGCCAGAAGCAAAGCCTTGGCTTGAGTTGTTGGAGGAAGGGGAGAACACTGGACACTCTACTCCCTGGACTCAAATAGGGGTACATCTGTGACCCCACTGCCTGTGGCCCTAAGGGCACTCAGAAAGATGGGGTTACATTGCTTAGGTGGACCTGTTTTTCACTTCCCATGAGGACCCTGTAAGTCTTTGAGGTCAGGAGCTCTGGGATGGGGCACTGAGCCAGGGAGAGGTTGCCAGGCCCCACCCAGAGGCACAGTCTATTCCTGTTCCAGTGGGCAGTCTTCCCTGCCATCGGAGTGGAGTGGGCTCCACCCTTTTGGTCCTGTACTCTGCACCTCCCAGGCTACTGGGAGGTCAGGCATGGGAAACAGAACCATGAGTCATCATCAACTTGATGCACTACAGAATTAAAAAATAATCAAGCATTTCACACCCATCAGATGGGCAGAAAATTACAAAGTCTGACGCTACTGAATGTGGCAAGGATGAGAAACAATGGGAACTTTTATATGCTGCTGGTGAGAGTTGGGGTAAGTCCAGGTTTAGCCTGAAGCTTATTTTTACGATTTTGGGGGAACTTCATTATAAAATAATACAAAACGAGGCCGAGTCTTGGAAGGGCTCTGAGGAGGTGAAGGTTTTGTCCTTAATTCAACTGTATCGACTTCCTTGTAAACCCACTGCTGGGATATGTCAATTAGAATAACCCTTTGGAACAGCAGTGTGGTGACAACTGGGAAAACAGTTGCCCTATGACCCTGCAAGCCAAATTTTCCATGTGTTCAGAGAGAAATTTCCAGCAGCAATTATAGAAATGTGCTTGGAAATGTTGCCTGTAACAGCTAAAAGTAACACACTAGAAATAGTAAAATGTCCATCAACAGAATATCAGAGAAACACTGTCAAGTGTATGAACCTCAAAACATCATGTTGCATGTTACAGAAGGTATGTGCAGTGTGATACCATTTTCCTGAAGTGTGAAAGCAGAAAACAATGCCATGTTCATAGCTATGTGTGCAGTGACAGTCTGAAGTGTGCTTGAGAACACTATTTCAGCCTAGGGCTCTCCCCGAGGATAGGAAGGAGAGTGGGTAGGGACGGGATATCCAGCAGGCTTAGCATACATCTACAAGGCTTTTTTTTTTTTTTTGTAGCACAGGAGTTTGAACTCAGGGCCTTGCACTTGCTAAGCAGGCATTCTTATCGCTTGAGTCATTCCGCCAGTCCTTCGAGTAATCTAAATAGCTTTATTTCCTTAATACCCAAAAGCAAATAAGGTAAAACATTAACCTTTGACAAAGTTGAGCAATAATTATGTGGGTGTCTGATCAAGTCTTATGTATACTTATCTGTAGCATTTGAAGTATTTCTTAACATTTTTATTTTTTAAAATTGAGGTGAAATTCTTGTATCATAGAAACATTTAAAATTCACCAGTCCAGAGGCATTGGGGACATTAAAGGGATATACAACCATCACCTCTATCTAATTTCAAAACATTTCATTACCCTAAAAAGAAACCTCATACATACCGCAGTGGCTCACCTGGCAAACCAGTTTATGTTCTTTCTCTATGGATTTACCTATTTCGAATATTTTATATGAATGGAATCATACAATATGTTACCTTTTCTGACTGTCTCCTTTCACTTAGCATAGAGTTTTCAAGGTTTATGATCTCTGTAGAATGGGTCAGTAGGACTTCATTCCTTTCTAGGGCTGAGTAATATTCCACTGTAGTGATATGTCACATTTTGTGTATCTAGATCATCTGTGGATGAACATTTGGGTTGTTTCCACTTGTTGGTCATTGTGGACAGCTCTCTGAGAACATGTATGAACACGTATTTATTTAAGTTGCTGCTTTGGGTTATACTTGGGTGTGGAATTGCTGGACCATAGGGTAACTTTTTGAGGAGCCCCAAGCTGTTTTTTTTATGCTGGTTGAACCATTTCACATTCCCATCAATAATGCACAGGGGTTCCAATTTCTTCATATCCTGGGAAACATTTATTTTCCCATTTTTTGGATGGCTTATTTTAAAGTTTTATTGTAGGCTTTGCTGTTGAGCCTGTTTTAGATAAAAGCCAACTTGCTGAGTATGAAGTGGTATCTAGATGTGGTTCTGATTTCACTTCCTGAAGACTAATGCGGTTCAGTATCTTTTCATGTGTTTATTGCCCATTTGCATTTCTTCTTTGGAGAAATGTCTGTTCAAGCCATTTCCTCATTTTCTAATTGGGTTGTTTGTCTTTTTGTGGTAGAGTTGTAATATTCCATAATTTAAGAAAACCCTCCCAGGGTTGGCCAGTTCTTCTTCCAACTCTTTAGTTCTCTACTCCTTCTGTGTGTCGTAACGCATATACGATCATATGTTCAGTTCACACAGAGGAAAACTTAAAGGACCAGTATGTGCAGGCCTTTCTCTCCCACTCATCCTGTGTGCCTCAATTTATAGGCAGACGAGCAGTGGTTGAGGAAGAGCAACAATTTCTAAGACAGTTGAGAGGGAAGTGAACCTGGCAAATGAAAATTATTTCTTCTGGAAACCTCTACTACTGCAGGTCACAAACCACACTGAAGGAGTAAGTTTCCATTAACAGGCAGCCCAGAAATTTCCCCACCCCCTACTCTCTGCAACAATGGCAGTGGGAGAGATCCTCCTGTCCCCTGCAGAGATTATATCTCCCTGCCTGGCTGGGCTGTTCCTACCCGCAGGGCCACTCTTTTCCCCAAACTGAGCTACTAAGAAGAGGCAGGAGAGTCCTGGGAGGTCATCTCTCTGAGAAGCCAAGCCACTATCTGCCACCACATGAGCTTGTGGTATATTGGAGCGTCACACCAGATTCTTTGCTAAAGCACGAAGCCCAACTACCATATGCTCTCTCATGATTCTTTTTACAGTGTACTCCAAATAACTGAATTCACTGGGCAAACTCTGAGATGCTAAGATCTGTTTTGCATAAAAACCTCTGCTCCACCACATCTCCTGGTGAGACCTGTTCTTTCTTGGTTGAGACACTCTGCCTCTGTAAATCCCTTTTTGTAAAACTTGGAAGGAGCCTTTCATTACTTATTCCCAGGTCCTGACACTATCTGCTCATTTTAAGAAATCCAACATTGGGTGAATACAGGCTAAGAGATGATAAAGAAAAGCACCCAGAGCAGCCATTTGGGGAAAAAATGATTGAATGGCACTCTCCGGTATGGGCCAGCCCGGTGGGGATTCTGACGTGTGTATGTGTCTATGTCAAATACATTCAGCTGGCACTGTTCCAGATTTTGCCTGGCAACCTTGAACATGGAAGAAACTCACAGAGGCAGGAGAACCAGCTAAAAAGCAAGCTAACCTTGGACAAGCCCCTCCCCACTTTGGACCGGAGTGTCCCTATTTATAAACGATGGGACTGGGCTCAGTGTCCTGGGTTTCTTCTAAATGTCACCTCCATGACTGGTTATCTCCAGGATTTGAAGTCACTCTGGATACACTCAGGTTTGGGTAAACTGAACTCTCACTACAATTCAGTGACACTCCTATTACCAATTGACTGGACCCCCTCCCCCATTGCGCCTTCATGAGGCCCCCATCATGGATGTCTTTGGTGTTACACACTCACCCCTCCAATCAAATAGAAAACAGCTGGGGTCCGGTTGTTAAACAGCCCCCCACATTTTCTTTCCCAACCAAGGCTCCACCGAGAACCAAGGCTTCTGTGGTGGGGCACAGGAAAAGGTGTCCTTATGGCTGCAAGGAACAAACCACACCTACAGAATAAATAAATCACACCCCTCCGGGTAGGCGCTAAGGGCCCCTAAGGACTTGAAGCGGAAGGAGGTCTTGAGCCTTGCAGCACAGTGAACCCTTTTTACTTTGAAAGAGTAGGAAACTCTTTCCCGAAGCCATAGCTGCACCTGCGCAAGGCGGGACCAACTGCAGGTGCAGACAGCTCAAGGTCAGCCAAGGCAGAGGAAGACGCTCATCAATCCTACTCGCTTCCCCAACCCCAAAGACAGGGCACAAAGAATGCGACGAAGCAAAGTATGGCTATTACTTTCTTCTTTCCCGATCATATCTGTCGCCAATATAGTCTCTTGCCAGAAACTTCAAAAGTTCAGAAAAGAATAACCGGATCCTGCTCCTCCTAATCTCTAAACCTCGGTTGGTAATACTGAGGTTTCTTTTGCAGCTTTTTTTGAAACGAAACCCTCTCTCTGGAAAAAGCTGGGCACTTTTACAAGGACGTTGCGCTTCCACAAGGGGCGAAGCGTGGAGATCAGTTTTCTCCGCACCGCCTGAGCAAAGCGAACCCGGTGCTCAGATTTCCAACTAGCACTCAAATAAACCCTGCCTGGTCAACATCTGACCTGGTCTGCAAATTTGGTTTCTTCACCCAAGACTTGGAGACTGTTTCCCCACTGTGGTTGATTGGAAGGGGACTAATGACCAGGGATGGGGAGGACTTTGGAACTTGGTCCCCCTCGTCCTTCCTCATTCTCTCGCTGCTCCCGGGACTCACGCGGCTTGCAGATCGGGCTGGGACACCTGTGCGGAGCCCCAGAGGGAGCCCATCCCGTCCCTTCCCTGCCTGGGCCCCGGGTGCGCGAGTCACTCACAAATTCAAAGATGAAGAGCAAGTCGGGGAAGGTGGTGAAGACCGAGAAGCCACTGGGCAGGGTGCTGCCACCAGAAGCCGCTGCTGGGGCCATGCCGGCAAGCTGGCGTCGGCCTCGGGACGCGACGCGTGCAGCTCTGGTTCCGCGCTGACCACTCGCTTGCTGCTCGGAGCCCAGTGGCCCGGGCGCCCCCACGCGCGGGTTAAAAGCGAGGCGAGCCCCGGGCAGAGGAGGGAGGAGTCCCAGTCGCCTGCCCAGCCCCTGCCCTAGAGACTTGGTCAGCGCGCAGCGGGCGCGGCTCTGTAGCACATCGAGGGCGTGCTGCGCACCTACAGAGCTGGGGTTGGGGGGTCTGTCCTGCGTCCCACTCCTGGATACCACCTCCTTGTGGGGAGCAGAATTAAACCACTTTGACGAGGCGCTTCTCAACTTTGCGCGTCTCGCAGGTGATCGCCATCCCTTAAGAAAGATGGCCATCAATAACCTGGCCAGGAAACCGCCCCACTTTGGCACGCCCCCCAACCCCCACAGTCACCATTGCTTTAACTCCAGTAGAGTCTCGGTCTTTCCGCTGGGTGCATTAACGTGCGCTGTGCGACTCCCGCTTCCAGGCTCACGGTGGGATGGGTGCCCAGTCCTGATGGCAGCTGCAGGCCTGGGGGGGGGGGGCTGTAGGGGCGGAGCTGAGACCGGCTCTGACCACCGACCTCCTCCTTGCGTAGCCAGAGCCCAGCTCTGAGAGTAGTACACCTGGCCCCTACTCCACTTGGTGCGGGGACTACGTGCCTGCAGGAGGGTAGAAGGTTGAACTCTGTCGCGCCAGCCCAGGAGGAAAGCTGACGGTGGGGACGCTGGGACAGGTTTGGAATCCATGGGACCGGAAGGAAAATTACCAGAGGACATTCCTTGTGCTTCTGCAGTGGGATGACCTCCAGCACAACCCCTCATCGGGCCCATGTCCTTTGACTCTTGCCTTTTTTTTGTACCACACTTTCAAAATTCTTTTTTGCCTTATTTTTGAATACTGAGTTTTCTTTACACATACTACAGCCTAAACTCTACACCCAGCACAGGGCAAGTGTAGAGGGAAAGGCCCTGAGCTGAGACCTCCACCCCTTTCCCCTACCCCCTCCAGCTCAACCCAGGTGCCCCATCACCTGGCAATGTCCCCCCTTTTACTAGTGGGGCACCCTCACCCTTTTCCTCTATACATCTCTTTTTCCTTTCCAGTTTTACAGAGAGAACTAGATTCCTGGACTTTTCCAAAAGCAAAAATCCATGCAATTAGCTGGTCATTGTAATTGCTTATGGAAAGGGGCCAGACATTTGTAAGTGGGAAAATCCCACTGTGCCTCTGTGAGCCTCTTCCAGTTGCTAATCTTGGTGGCCTGTGACTGGGTGTCTTCACCAGGTCCCCAGGGCAGAACCTCTCTGGCCACGATGGGCTGTTGACCATCAGGGGCCCTCCCTTCATGTCTTCACTAACCCTGGACATCTTACAGTTTGTCAGTTGGACCTGAGAGAACATCTGCCTCCAGGAGACCATAGTGCCTTAAGGGAAGCCACTGCCAGCAGCAGGTGTGATAATTTGGAATTTCTCTCTGAATGCATACCAATTAAAAAGCACAAGGTTGCTATCAACTCACTAATGTCTTTGCCTGGCCTTGAGGTTTTCCTTGTGTTTTGGTTTGGTTGGTTATTTCACAACTTTGTAGCTAAGTCCTTCACAGTGTGGCCTGTGACTCTGGGGAAAAGACTTGGCTCCTGGTGTATCCTAAGGAGGCTCAACAGTCCTGGTCTCCTTGGAAGAGGTATGGTGGGGAGGTCTCTGAAAGAGTCTGCAGAGGGTTAGAGAGGCATCCTGGCCAAGGTTATCGTGGCTTGCCCCTGTTGTGGTGACCCTCTCATCTCACCTAGAGTCCTTTGCCTGATGTTGACCTTCCTGCCCAGACACCACCTGCCATCTTCTTCCTGGCCACAACACATCCTTGGCACCTAACCAAGGGCCCAGCCTTGTTGGAGGTGGACCACCCAAGGAAGGAAGTGGAATGGCCCTATTTGAATGCAAAGAGCATTAGCAAATGGAGACCTATCTGTCCTCACTTCCCAACAGAGCTTCCCCAGGAGCACTGGGCCACTTGATATTCTAGGCCATTCCTATTGATAAGAAGTCCTGGGCCACACTTTGCTTTCCAGCAGGATATGAAAAAACAGCCTTAGTCAATAGCTCACACTGCACTGTCTTCGATTTCCCTAGAGACATAATGGGTGTGAATTTGGGTGTGGTTTGGGGGTGAATCGAGGGCTTCCATCAAATGACAAGAAGGCCTAGGGCAGTTTCTACAAGTAGAAACTGGGAAGTTATGATTACAGTGTTTCCTGAGTCAGGAAGATGTCACCTCCAGCTTGTGTGGGCGTTGGGAGGGAACTGAATAGGAGAGAGAGATGTGTTCAGGGAATGATTCATGGAGAGAAATTGCCAATAAAACATCAGCAGGTACAATTTGGTTTCAAGGCCAATAAAATGACTCCCATTTTACCAATGGAAGAGCTAAGCAGCTGTCCAAGGCCACACAGCTGCTGAGTGGTGGAGCTCAGCCTTGAACTTGAGAGATGCTGGCTTTCAAAGCTGTGAGCACTTGATTAAGACCATGCTTGGATGGGCAATTGCTAATTAAATGCTATGCTCCGTGCAACTTTGGGCTTTCCTACCTGGCATGAAACACTGAGGGCCCCTGCTGGCCGGGTGTATCAATGGCAGTCACAGCTGCCTTGCTCACATGACTTCTTTTGATCCTGAACCTTTTTGGTTGCTGTCAACCCACCCACCATCCAGGCTCAGAGTGGGCTGCGATGTCCAGGCCACATGGTAGCAACTAGGATTCTTGAATCCAGAAGGCAGGCTCAGTCCTCCTGCCTCTGTCTTGCTGCACAAAATCTACAAATTTGAAAACCAAGAGGTGACTGTTTACCAGAGGACTGTCCTTTGATGGGCCCAGGAGGCACCACGTGACAATAAGCTGCCCTTTTTTCTTTCCTCAGGATCTCTTGGGTCATGTTTTCTAGTGCCAAGAAGACATTGGATGTGAGGGCGATCTGGCTGCAACATCTGTCACCCCATTGATCGCCAGGGTTGATTCGGCTGATCTGGCTGGCTAGGCGGGTGTCCCCTTCCTCCCTCACCGCTCCATGTGCGTCCCTCCCGAAGCTGCGTGCTTGGTCGAAGAGGACGACCATCCCCGATAGAGGAGGACTGTTCTTCGGTCAAGGGTATACGAGTAGCTGCGCTCCCCTGCTAGAACCTCCAAACAAGCTCTCAAGAAGACATGACCACAGAAGAGGAAGCCATAGCCAGATCTGGAGATTCTGAGCACAAAGCAGGGACCAGCATCTTTGGGTGTGTCAGGGATGGGGATGGAAGGTTGAGGGTATGTGAGTTGGGAAGAAAAAAAATCCCTGCTCTCTTGGAGTTTCATCTAAATGGACATCAAACTCTAGTTGACAACACCTGGCCAGGTTCCTCTCTGGGCTGTGTTTGCACTGGGCCTTTTCCCTGTCGCCATGGACTAAACACTGAAGGGGGTTATAACAAACCACCAAAACTGTGTGGCTAGGAAACATCAGAAATTTATTTCTCACAGTTCTGGAAGTCTGAAATCAAAGCCCTGGAAGATTTGGGGTCTGGCTTCTTGGTGTGCCTTCTTGCTGTGTCCTCACACGGTGGAAGAGGTGATGGGTGTCTCTCAGGCTTTTTTTTTTTTTTTTAAATAAGGGCATAATCCCATTTGTGGGAATGAACTTTGCTTTCATGACTTAATCACCTCCCAAAGACCTCACTTCCTGATACCATGAACTTGAGGGTAAAGTTTCAACATATGGAACTTGAGAGGACAAAAGTACTCAGACCACAGTAGGTACTTTTACAATAAGGTCGAGGGGGAGACAAGCTACATAGTGGGGCCCCTGTGTCGAAGCACTTCTTGGGTGGCAGCTCTGGGCCTGTCTTCCAGATGTAACAGCCACTTGAATAGAGGGCCCTGCCCTCAATGTCCCCATCAGTTCAAGTTTGTTAGTGCTGGGCAATGGGGAGATCATGGAACAGGTTGAACATGACTTCTGACTTTTTGAAGCTTGTCAGGGGGTACAGGAGATAGTTGTCAATCAAACATGGCATAATAAATGTGTAGTGATATTTGGTGCTAAACACAGAGTTCAGGGGGCTCAAGAGCATCTGCCAGCACAGCTTGTCCCCCGCTAAGTATGGGGAGCTCATGGGAGGAAATGCCTCTTGGGCTGGTGGGCAGTGGCTAACCAGGTGAAGGGGGAAAAATCTTCTGGACAGGGAAACAGAATGCAGCAGCCCCTTGCCCTCTCCTGGAGAGAGGGGCACACCACACACCGCAGGCCTCCAGCTACAAGAGATCAATAATAAAAACCAGAGGCAGGTAGCAGGACTGGGGGGTGAGGGAGGGAGACAGCAGGGAGTCTAGGGCTGAAGGAAAGAGGCGTAGGCCTGAGTTCTGGAAGAACAGCCTGGGACTGATGCTGGCAGAGGAGGCTGAAGGGGGCCTGCGAGGCTGTGTTGAGTGTAGGTGAGTAGAGAAGAGAGAGAAAGGATGTCAGGCCCAGGGAACGGTGTACAGGACCCAGAGGCAGGAAAGCCTTTGATCTATGTTGAGAACAGGACAGAGGAGGAAACCAGGCAGGCTGGGCTCAGGCAGAACAGGTAAAAGCCCAAGGGTAGGAAACATACAAGGGTCTTAGACACTTCCTTCTGTTCTGCCCTAAGAGTAGGGACTTCACCTCCTGCCTGCCCTGAGCCCATCCTCTTCCCCCCAGGCAGGGATGGGAGTCACACCTTGGTGGGAAGCTCTACACTTGCCCTGCAAGCTGCACCAGGAATTTGGCCCAAGTTGACCAAAACCTCAGGAAACATGAACCACAGGCAGGGCTGGGTTTGTGGGTTCAGAGAATGTAGTCTTGGCAGGTTCAGGGCTGGGGCAGGCTTGTTCTGAGTGAGGCACCTTTCCTCATGGTTTTGCTTCTAACACCCTTCAATGGCCACAGCCCACCTCCTTAGCTGGTGAGGCAGTTGTTGAGTAAACACCAAAATTTAACAGGTGCATTCTGGAACCACCTTGGCCCCAGGCTTTTCATTCTCAAACTCCCACTTCTACTTGGGAGGCAAAGGCCTCCCCAGGAGACTGACTCCTTTGGGGATAACCA